TTTTCTCTCTCTCTGTCACCCAGAGTGGAGTACAGTGGCGCTGTCTCCAACCTCTGTCTAATGGGTTCAAGTGTTTCTCCTGCCTCAGCCTCCAAAGTAGCTGGGACCACAGGCATGCGCCACCATGCCCAGCTAATTTTTTTTTTTTTTCATTTTTAGTAGAGACGGGGTTTCACCACGTTGGCCAGGCTGGTCTTGAACTCCTGACCTCAAGTGATCCACCCACCTCAGCCTCCCAAAGTGCTAGGATTACAAGCGTGAGCCACCACACCTGGCCTATGGTTGTATTTTAAATAAATATTGGTAAATTAGCTTTTTGCTAGACAAATCATAAACAATAATCATACATGGAGGATAGACTTGGGGGACCAGTCCACAAATACCTGTTTAACCTATAATGTGGCTAAATTATGAAATTCAGCTATATTATGTGTTAAACTGGCCACTGATCACCCAGTGTGAGGATGAGGGGTACATGTTATCTAATGGAATTTGGTGCTGTGGATAATATGAAAACATACAATTGGAATTTCAACTTCTAATTTTATTACATATTTTCATACTCTTCCTGAAACTTACCCCCTCCCTGAAATCCACCCTTTTTAGGAAATGAGGTGAAGTTCAGAAATGGTGTGAGGATGTCTGTAGTGGTCATTACCTAGTAATAAAAGAGCTGAGAGTTTAGTATTTTTATTTGTTTTTAAGGTCCTAAAAATAGAATTGATTGTGAAAATGTCTATTGAGTCAAAAAGACTATGTGGTCTATGGGATACCTTAATTCACCCACATTTAGCAACTACTTATTGAGCCCCTGCAATGAAATGAAGATTAGCACACAGTTCTGCCTTTAAAAAGTCATCGTTTCAAGAGAGATTAGTGAATGGATACAAACTTACAGTGAATGGATACAAACTTAAGTGAGTTAGGACTCACTTACAGAAATGAGTCCTAATATTCCACAGCAGAGGAGGATATCTATCGTTAGCAATAATATATTGTATATTTCAAAACAGCTGGAAGGAATATTACCAATACATAGAAATGATAAATGCTTAAGGTGATGGATACCTCAAATACTCTGACTTGATCGTTACACATTGTATGCATGTAAAAAGTACTTGCAGTATGGTACCCTCATTAATATATAAAATATGTATCAATAAAATAAAAAAGAATAAGCTGGAAAAGAAAGGTCATAGTCTAATATGATAAATGGATGTGTTATTAAACCGTTACAACGTGGTAATTATTAGTTGTTACAGGGATTAGTTGTGATGGCTCTAAGCACATAAAATTAAAAGAACCCAGAGGAGAGTATAATTAACTTGGGGGGAGAAGGGAGGCGTGGGAGGTTCCTGAAAGGTTTCTGAGAGGAAGTGCCACTTGAACTGAGATTTAAAGAGCTTGATGGAATTAGGGTGAAAGGGAAGCCCACTTTAGAGGGATGGAACTACAGCAACAAAGGTAGGGAGATGGATGGTTTAAATGAGAACTGCAAGTAATGTGTGTTGCTAAGTGTGGGATTTGGAAGGGAAAGACAGAAACTGTAAAGATGTTTGTGTGCAATCCTGAGGCAACTGGACTATTTATGTTGTAAGTGCTAGGGAACCGCTGAAAGATTTTTAAGCAATGGAGTGGCATAATCAGGTTTATGGTTTGGAAAGTCATATTAGTGATGGTGTCACATGACGAACACTTCTTATTATTTGTTTATTTAAAAATTTATTTATGAGTTGAGGGTTTGCTCTGTTGCTCAGGGTGGAGTGTACTGCCGTGATCACAGCTCACTGCCACCTCCAACTCCTGGACTCAAGGGATCTCCCACTTCAGCCTCCCGAGTAGCTAGGACTACAGGTGTGTACCACCATGCTTGGCTTATTAAAAAAATTTTTTTATAGAGATGGGTTCTCATTGTGTTGCCCAGGCTGGACAAGTGATCACTCCTGGGCTCAAGTGATCCTTCCCACCTGGGCCTCCCAAAGTGCTGGGATTATAGGAGTGAGCCACAGGGCCTGGCCAACTTCACTTTATTTTGTTTGTTTTTTAGACAGGGTCTTCCTCTGTTTCTCAAGCTGGATTGCAGTGATGTGATCTCAGTTCACTGCAACCTCTACCTCCTGGGCTCAAGCGATCCTCCCATCATAGCCTCCCAGGTAGCTGGGACTAAAGGCTTGTGCCACCATGCCTGGCTAATTTTTGTATTTTTGTGGAGACAAGGTTCTACCATGTTGCCCAGGCTGGTCTTGAACTCCTGGGCTCAAGCGATCTGCCCACCTTGGCCTCCCAAAATTCTACTATTACAGGCGTGAGCCACTGTGCCTGGCCCAACTTCACATTTTTTTTGTATCTGTTGTGCTTTTGTATCTGTTGTGGTTTCATCATATTAACATATTAACATCTGAGACTATAGTATGTTTACTTCTTATCTCCTCGGGTCAATGTGAGAATAAAACAATGAAATATAAGGAAATGGGCTTTTAAACACCCATTGTATAAATGCTTTTTACATATGAGCAATACAGATCTGCTTTTCTTAGCTACAGGATATTGTAAGTTGGGTTTTTTAGTCATAAACTACCTATAAAGTTACATGCTTTGTCAGTGATAATGCTATTTTAAGAAAAGGATTTTTGTCCTATCCAAATACTTTGAAGTTGGAATTGAAGGATCAAAGGAGAATCAGACTTTGAACTCAGGCAAACTTGGGTTTTAATTCCTCCTCTGTCCATGACAGTTGTGTTTACTTGGACAATTTACCAAACTTATCTTAGCCTCAGTTTCTTTATCAAAGGGGTCATGGTTGTGGTGATTAAATATAATAGTGAATGCAAACAATTCTGCTAACTTCTTGGCACATCAAATGCTCCATAAATGATAGCTTACCCATGGCCAGATGTTCTTCTAAGCACTTAATATGGTATCCTATTTAGACCTCCCAAGAACCCCATGAAGTAGGTACTACGATTTTCTCCATTTTCAGTTCAGAATCTGCTGAGAAAGGAAGAGAAACTTTGCTAAGGTCGTAGTGTCAAGAAGTAGTAGAGCTAGGACCTGAATTCAGGCAGTCTTTACTCCAAAGTCCAAGCTATTTACTGCTATGCTTTTGCCTCCTCTCTATGGAATACACTATTATTATTAGCATATTAATCCAATGTTACCCTTCCAAGAATGCATGGGGCAAAAGCTATTTTTAAAAACAATCCCAAATGCTGCTTCTGCTCATTTTGACTGGTTCCTTAAATAGATGATTAAAATTACTAAGTGTGTGCTGACTATATGCATAAAACTGGATGCTACTGAGTGTCAGTCTCTGATGAAGGCTCAGATATGCCTTCAGTGACCTTACTGATTGTGAAGGAGACATTTTTGAGAGACCTATGTCTATGCATGTGTGGTCTGTAAATGAATGACTCTCAGGGATCTAATGCTAACCCTTTTATTTCAAGAAGGTGTCCCATATGATACGTGGTTGTTACTTCATGAACAAATGTGCACATAAATGCATATCAAGCTGTAATAAAACTCTAGTAACCTTAAAGACTTACTGGGATAAGGGTTCAGACTCAGATTATAAACCAGTGGTCAGGATAGAAAAAAGAGATATGGTCTTGCTTTGTTTGGAGTAACAAAATTAGGCCAATTGCTGAGGAGGAGTGCTCCAGTTCTATCTCAAGTCAGTTTTCTTTTTTTCCACGAGTACACAATTTTTTTTTTTCCAACTCATCCCTGTCTAAGCATTAATGGAAAATGGTCAATAGTTCACAACACCCAACGCTAACAAAGAAATAAAAAATCATGGAGGGCAAAAGGTCAGTATATATGAAAGGAGGAAATAGGGAAGGAAGATTTAGACAAGAGGTGAAGTTGACATAGGTCAGAGCGTCAACAATCAGCTGATTTATCTAATAATAGTAGTAGCAGTGAGGTATCATCCTGTCACTGTACTCCAGCCTGGATGACAGAGTGAGACTCCACCTCCTAAATAAAGTAGTAGAAGCAGCAGCTAATCCTTATATAACACCAGGCATTATTCTAAACTTCATTTACTATACAACTTTATGAGTTAGGCACTATTATCGCTGTTTTACTGATGAAGAAAGCTCAGAGAGGATAAGTAACTTACCTATGTGACACAGTAAGGAGTGAAGATTCTATCTACAGCAAGCCTGACCTCACTTTTTTTTTTTTTTTTTTTGGGAGACGGAGTCTTGCTTTGTCGCCCAGGCTGGAATACAGTGGCATGATCTTGGCTCACTGCAACCTCCGTCTCCTGGGTTAAAGCAGTTCTCTGCCTCAACCTCCCAAGTACGGGAATTACAGGTCCCTGCCACCACGCCCGGCTAATTTTTGTATTTTTAGTAGAGACGGGGTTTCACTATCTCTGCCAGGCTGGTCTTGAACTCCAGACCTCGTGATCCACCCTCCTCGGCCTCCGAAAGTGCTGGGATTACAGGCGTGAGACACCACGCCCGGCCAGTCATTACTCTTAAACACATCTATTTACATGTCTGGGTATCAGTTGGTTCCTCCAATGGACCCTTAAACTCACTCACTTTAGTATATGATACACATATATCTAATTTAAGGGAACTGTATCCATTTTACTCAGTTTAATGGACACTAGTACTATGTAGAATGAATAATAAGAGAGCAAGAGGGAGGTGACAAATATGGGACTGTTGTGAACCTATAGGCCCGCCGCGGAGCCCAGCAGCAGATGCGCCTGCGGGCTCTGGGGGGCAGAAGGGAGGGACCGCGCGGGCTGGTCCTCGGCAGCCTTGGGGCGACCGGGCGCTCAGGCGCAGGCGCGGCGCGGCTGTCAGGCGCTGATGCGCGGGGCCACCTGCAGAGGCCTCCTCACCCCGTCCCCGGGATGTCCCCTAGACGTGGACCCCCGTGCCCTCCTTGCCCTGTGCTGTCACAGAGTGACCTGAATCCTACCATGCCAAAAAACTGGGTGGAAGAAAGTATTTCCAACCCTCCTCCCTATCATCCCTTACCGAGGGAGAGCCGCTGGCCCCTCAGCAGGGGCTTGCGCACGGCGGTGGAGCGATCTGCGGCTTTGTTTCTCAGGCACCTGTTGTGGATCCCAAATAGAAACGTCGCCCTTGGGGATTCGGGACCGGGCAGCCAGTGTCCGGGGGTGGGCGTGCTTGGCTGCACGATCCACCCGGGTGGGCGGGCCTGGGGAGGGGGCCCGGGGCTCTGTGGCTCTGCCTGGGAGGGAGGGGCTGAGTGGCGCCGGGGACTGAGCTGAGCCAGCCGGGGCGCTGACCGCCGCGCTCGCCCCCTCCCTTCCGCCCTCCGCCCTCCACCCTCCTCCCTCCCTCTGTCCCCGGCGCGGGCGAGTGTCTGCAGCGCGGCGGCCAGGAAATGCCGCAGATGCGCCGCGCAGCATCCCCGGCGGAGGCAGCGCGCTGGTCCTCCCGCACCGCCGCCGCGGCCTCGGCCCCGGCCCGGCCCGGAGTAGGCGCCCCGTGCAGGGCCAGCAGAGCGGTCAGCGCGGCCGCAGAGGGTCTGGGCGCCCGCCGGCCCCAGCCGGCCCTCGCCGCACTCCCGGCTCCTCAGTTTGGCGTGGCGCTGCACGTCGCCGCCCCTGGGCTCGCCGAGATTTGCCGCTGCTGAAACCCGAGAGGGACTCAGGCTCCTGGAGCGGGGCGGCCCACCCTCGGTCAGCCAGGAGGCCTGGGCGTTTCCTCTGCCGGCCCCGGCGCCTGGCGCCCGTCGCCCGCCACCTACTGCGCCCCCGCTCTGCGTCTTCGGCTTCCGCGCTCTTCCCCAGCCTGCTGCTCCTTCCTCTTTTCCAGTTCCCAAGGCTGTGTCTTGCTGACTACGTTACTGTCCGGGGGTTACGAGGGGGAGAGGGGAATTGGCCAGTCATCGCTTAAACTTCGGCATGGCGGGTTACCTCTCCCCTGCTGCTTACCTGTACGTGGAGGAGCAGGAGTACCTCCAGGCCTACGAGGATGTCCTGGAGAGATACAAAGGTATGTGGTCCCTGCCCTGGGGCCGCGGAGCTTGGCACGGATCAGAGAGGCAACCGCTACCTTTCCTTAATCAGAGCCACCACTCCTTGGGCACGAGTAAACAGGTGTCTGGACCAGTTCTGGGAATGGACGAGGTCTTTTTGCATGGGATTTAGTACCCCCAGCGCAGGGAGGATGGTGGGGTGGGCGACAGTCTGGAGACGCCCTTAGATGAGCAGTAGAGAGGGGGGAAGGGGTTTTGGTTTCCAAGAAGCACATTGCGTTTTCTCTTCCTTGTAAAAGCTCTTAAGCACTACGCATAATCATAATTCTTCCTGGGAGGGTGGATACTGATTATTCTCTATGGGATTACTAAGGCATTGCTGCTGCTGCTTGGCTAGGGTATTGGTTAGCCCTGTAAAAAAGGTTCAGCATCACTAGGTCATTTTCCTTAAAATGATCTTACTTATTTGAAAAAGTTTGTGACTAAATACTTACTCTGATGTATTGTAATAATTATTTTATAGCGTGATTGATAAAAGACTTTAGTTAGTGAGTTTGTTGTAAATTTAAATGTAAAGAATATATTTTGAGATTTTGTTTCTGCCCAACCTTTATGTTCAGGAAATTCTATGCCAACCTGATATTTATGTTTTCGTATAATGTTTACTTTGACTTCATAGCTAAATATAATGACGAAATACAAATCGCAGCTGTCCGTTTTTTAAGTCTTTTTTGTCTCTGGAAATGTGTTTTTAAGTGTGTATATACCATCTTTTTATTGTGGCTCCCAAAACACACCGAACTCAAGAGCAGCTCAGAGAGGTTTAACGTGTTTATAGTGAATAGTGGCCCATGTCATAGGTAGGATTCAAATGGTTTTATTTCTTTTGAATATTTGCTTTGGGTTTGGTAACTCAATGTCTGCAAATGCAGTGGTATTGTATGGTTAACAATACATGTAGTTTTCTATTAGTAGAAAGTAGAAATAAAAAAAAAAATTGAACTAAACAATAAAATTCCAAATCCCCAGAAAGCTCAAATCCACTCACAATTGTTTTCTGTCTTTGTAGAGTATGTTTTATAACTGAAATTCTTGCAATCCATGTAGAATTTTGTAAACAATACAATGAGAATTCCTTTGTGCCAAGACTCTTATTGTGTATAATACTGCCACTGAGCAAGTGCAATGATATTTTAGGCTAAAGCACATTTGTGACATTTGTGTGTGTGTGGATAATATACTCATATTTACTTCCATCACTCCATTTTAAAGTAAGGTTTGTAATTAGTTGTTCCCAGAGCTTTATAAAAGAGGAATATTGCAATTTAGACCAACAAACCTTACCGAAGAAAATACATCTGTGCCCTATACAGTCAGAAACAAAAAAATCTGAAAGTTCTAAAGTACATACATTTTATACTTTTGAAAAAAATTACAGCTGAATGAATTTTTGTCACATGAAGTTATACCTAAGTGACACGTGGGTGATTTCAGGTGACTGAAAACAAGTGCTTATTTGACTTTGTCTTAAAGAAGCAGGCATTGTTTAAAAGCTTGTCTTTGCCTTTGGAAATAAAAGGAAATTAAAGATCTGAAGGCCAGTGTACAACAATCAGTATTGCCCTTAAACATATACATTTTCAAACATATTGTTTAGACATCACTGAAAAAGTGATGGGAGTTTTCCTCATTTTACTTATGGTTTTTAAAATGCTTAGTTCATCAATTTGTACTTGGCTTTATAGTTGTGCTATGTTTATTTAGTCGTGGAAAGGAAAGTAAGAGTATTGGGCAGTGTATTCCATGAAAAGCTGAAGACCTGGAAAACTCATTGTTTCCCGATGTGTTTTGAAGCCAGTTATGATTTCCCATCAGCATCCAGTATGATGACTTCACTACAGTGCTTATTATCCTGATGACTTGCTGTGGGGACTGATCTAATCAGAAAAGAATTGTAGGCTTTGAATAGGGAGTGTCAATTCACTAAACGTTCAGAATACAGTTGCTCACTTTCTGAAATCATGCATTGTTCAAAACATTTTATGTTCTCATTTAAACTTAAAGAGAAGTTATTTTGATTTTTATTTCTGACAGAGTTCCTTGGTTACAGAAGGAGTTTGCATTCATCTAGAATATTATCAGGTTGCCAAGTTATCCTATGCCTCAGCTGTTGAGTAGTGTAAGTGGTGGAGTCAGCAATTCAAAATCTGCCTGTTGTCAGAAATGTAGAATTGTAATAATCTATAATGTTAGGAAATATAAGCATTAGATTTGGAAGTCGAGAGCTTTGTTAGGCTTAGTCTTCAGACAGCCTTGAGAGGACTTCAAATCATACTCTCTGTAGAAAAACAAGAATAGTGGAGAGTGAACGCTAATTATTTATGTGTAGTCAGTCTATTCTCATATCTTGCTTTGGTCCATTACTTCTGAGCAAAAATAGGCAACTGTTTGCTGAATTAGAATAACACAGAAAGAGCTATTTGCTACAAAGAAGGGTGCAGTGTTCTGATTCATATTCGAGTCCCGTTACTTGTAAAATGTATTCATGAAATATTCAGGGCCATTTGATTAAAAAAAACATATTTCTTCAGCTGATACCAAACTCTGGCTGAATAAAGGCATTTATTTTTGAGTAAAACATAATTCTTTATTATTGTTTATGCTAGAAATTTTCTGATGGCTACTTTCTTTTATATCTGTAGTGAATTATCCAGTGTATATACGGTGTAATACAAAACATTCTTAGTAGCTTAGCTTAAAAGAAACAGTGGTATCTTGTTTTTCTTCTTAAGTGTAAGGAGACTAACCCATATGCTGTTGTTATAAATGATTAATTAGCTCTCATATTATGAAATTCTGCTTTTTGAGTGTATCATTGGAATATTTTGTTTTCTCAACACATTGTTACTTTGTAGTATGATGTTAAGTGAGAATATGAGATAATTAATGTGAATTCAATACATTTTATTCTATACTTTATAGATGTAATTTTAAAATGTTACATTATTTTGGTTCACCAAAATGGTTATTTTTCTATTGATCTGGAAGTAAATCTGTTGTTCCTAGACAATCGTAATGAAAGTGTTGCATTTATCATTCTCTATGAAAGCTGAATGGTCGTTTTGCTTACTTATCTATAATATCACTAACCCCACTCCACCCCACCACCCCCTGCAAACTGCTGTTGAGGCAATGGGCAAAGTTTTCTCTTTTTTACAAATACCTTGTATAATTGCTTTAGTTTCTTCTCTCATTAGGGCTATAAAATCTGCTTATGTGCATGGTGACAAAAGGAACTAAGACTACAATAATTTTCATTTTCATTTCGGGTTTATTGCCTTTATTGATAGGTGATTAGTAAACATTCTGTCATTTTACTCTGTAAATTGGCTCGGACACTCCCTTGAAAATCGGAGTATACAGATTTCAAGGAATTTCTCTGCGGCGTGTAATGATCTAGCTCAGTGGTTTTCATTTGGCTTCTAGGATTCTGCAAAAACTTGATTTTGAATTTTTTCTGCTCATGCTCTATTCATAGGTTAATAGTTACATAATAAGTGAACTTTAACTGTGCTGCATCATAATAATGTTATATTGTAGCTAGTCATAATAGTATAAGTCTGGGATTTTTGTTTTCTTTTAAAAGTGAAACAGGCTGAATTTGCTGAGTGTTAGTTAAGATTATATTTGACTGTTTGTAACAGAAAACAAGTGATAGTGCTTAGCCAAGTAGATGTTTTCTTTTTCTCAGGTACTGAGAGGTCCTAAATAGGCAAAACTGGGTTGTAGGGTAACCCCATTTGCCAGGAGGGACTCAGACTCCTCTATTTCTGTGTAGCTATTTATAGTGTATCTTGTGGTCGTTTTGTGATCACAAGATGGCTGCTCCTCTTCCAGCCCTTATGTCTCCATTCCAGGGGACAGCTGCTCCAGGGGCCATCTCTATCTACAGGTAGAGTAGAAAATGTAGATTTTAAAACTGGCTTCATTTAGTGCCCTGAACAAAATTGAAGTTTTGTTTGTAAAGAATAAGGAAAGAATGGCAACTGGTTTTGCAACAAGCAGTGTCTGGCATATGGAAGGCAGAGTGTCTGTGCTAAAATTGGAAACTTAAGATTTGGATACATATTAACAATCATCACACAATCTATTTGACTTCACTAAAGTTTG